CAGGCTTAGTCTGCACCAGGAAAGTGACTCACCTGCATCAGCCACTCTTGTTTCTGAAGTACCATTGAAATCTCCTTGGGATGCAGCATGGAGGAAGAGGCATGAAGGAGCTTAGGAAGTCCATGAGCAACCCCTGGTTGTGCTCAAGGAGGAAAGCAGCTGACCATACATAAGAGCAAAACATTTGATGGTCATGAAATTAGAAGTCACACCAGAATACGCCCCTTAAAACATTGTGCTCACTGCTTATAACTGCCAGGCTGTATTACAGCCAAATTCCTAAGACACCAAGCCAAAAGAGAGCACCTGCACACAGGTTGAGTTCACACCACCTTTAAGTCAGGACATGCAGAAGGGGTGACCAACACCTGTGGTGGAGGTTTCTCATTCCTGTAAGCCCAAAACCCCCAGTCTTTAATACGTAGCATAACACCAGTGGTGCCCCCAAGGCTTAGCATCATGATCCCCTACAGAGCAGACTGGCTGTCGGTGACCAAGAGGGGGCAGGAAGCACAGACAGAGTAAAGCCAAAGCAGTTATTTTGCTTTGGAAGGAAAGAAATACTTAACAGAAATCAGAACGGGGAAAGCAGCCCCAAGATTGTTCAGTTTTTTATTTCCAAGTTCCTTTGGGCTCCTGAAACACCTTTTGGTACCTGAAATGCCACCCTGATTACAACTACCATGCCCTTAGATTATATCCTTGATCCTGCAAGAGAAATCCCATGGGACTGACAGATTGCTCTGAGAAAGAGGTCCCTTTGTCACCTGCTCTTCAAAAGCAACCAAGATAAAATAACCTGCACAGCCACATCTACAGAATATTCAGTCAGATTTAAAGTCTCAGTTTCCATCAAACTCTTTTCCAATTCCCAGAGCTCTTGTAATCCAGATGGGTCAGACATTGCCATAAGCTCACGCCCTCCAGGACAGGTATCAGCTCTCTGCTTCTGCAGCATCTAAGACAACTCTATCCAAGTTCCTGACTAAGGCTTAACAGCAAATATACTGAAAGCAGTAAGCAACATTGTTTAGAATTTCTGTTTTCACCCTAGATTCCCAAAGGAAACAACAAATTTGGAGCATCACCTGGCCGAATGACATAGTTGTCAATACAAATTTCTCCTAGTATGTGCACAGCATTTGGACTGAGCACTGACACAAACTCAGCCTTGCTAGATGTGACAAATGACTGCAAAATCCTTATGTCCAACCTGCCCATTCCTATTTTAACCTCCTGATGTCTTTTGTGCCAGGCTCTTCAATCGAAAACCGCCACGGTGTGTTTTGGGGGGCAGCAGGAAGGGCTGGGCTGACAGCCGTCGCCGGCGCCCGGGTGCGCAGAGCCGCTGCCGGCTGGGAGGACGCGGAGCAGAGCGCAGCAGAGCGGCAGTGGCGCCCGCTGGCCGCTCGCAGCATTGCCAGAGCATCCTTCCTTCTCCTCCTCCTCCCTGCCCTCCCTTCGGGAAACCGGTAGGACTGGCAGCTTCGAGGATTCACCGACACAAAACGCCCCTGGCCGGGGTGCCACGGCAAAAGAAGCCCAGGGCATCTGCGGGCACAGCCCAACCCACAGGGATGCGGGTAGGACCACACAATCTTGGTCAGAAAGATCGTCTCACATCCTTATCTTCTCCTTGTATTTCTACCCTGCCCAGCGTCCAGCCTCTGCAAATATAAATCCAAAGGGTAATTAACAACCTCCTCAGCAGGAATAGAAGTAATCTGAGACAGATATATCCTGGGATATATCAGCACAGTAAAACATATCCTCTGCACCTGTTAATGAATGGCTGCTTCAGAGCAGTTGAGAAGGCTTCATCAGAAACCTGTACTTCAGTTACGACCTCTGCATTAATGAAGAAAGCACAGAGGTGTGCAGAGTCGTGTCTCACCCCATGGAAATGTGACCCAAGCACACCAAATCAAGAATAAAAAAAGCAATATGCAGAACCTCACTGTGCCACCCATGAGAGGATGCAGGGGCTGATCTCTCTGGTGATCAGTAACAGGACCCAAAGGAATGTTATTAAGTTGTGTCAGGGGAGGTTTAAGCTGGATGTTAGGAAAAGATTCTTCACCCAGATAGTGAATGGGCACTGCAACTGGCTTCCCAGGGAAGTGCTTACATCCCCAAACTGGTTGGGATATGAGGATATGCAGGTTGGTATGAATGACACCAGATACCTGAACACATGAACTGACTTTAGTAAGGAAACTTTGAAGCACTGAATTAAATGGAAAAAAATAAAAGTTTGGAAAACAAGTACAGGGTCATTGCAGCCAAACTTGCGAGACACAGATTTTTTTGCAATTTGGGAAAAGGTTCCTACTTAGGTCCAGCTTTAAATTAATCTTTTGAAGATGTCAAGCTCATTAATGAATTAGTATTGCTGTGGCTTATCACTACCCAAATCCATGTAAAGCTTAATTTGGAGCAAGAACAAGCAACCCCTCTGCTACTTCCTTACAATTTTTCCTCCAGCAGGAAAATTTGTTTATAAATTTTGTTAATAACCGAAGTTATTAACAAGACTTTTGTGTTCTGACCTGTATTGCTAGAGATGGGAGATGCAGTCACCAAAAAACCCCCAGACTAAACCAAATTGAAACTCAAAGTCAGATCATAAAAGATGTTCCAGCATCTTGACAGTGTAAATGGACCATTTAGAGATAATTATGAACTCAAACAGCAGCTTTTTCACCAGGACTGAATGTCCGAGGGATTGGCTCAACATGAAAATTTATTGTTGCAACTCAGGCAACTCAAACATCCAGACACGAGAGCGTGCTACCAGACCAGGAGGGAATGAGCCACAGGGAGCAAAATGTTCAGGTGGACTAACCCTGAGACCTGCACACAACAAACACATCACAGGCTGGAGTACACAGTTGTCTGTGGGTGGTGCTGAGGCATTAGCAGCACCAGCCAGCAGCAGAGCATGAGGTACTTTTACCATTCCAGTCAGGATGCTCATTTTGTCTCCATCTTGCAGCACACGGCCGAGTCCCTTGAGGAAATGGGAAAAGGCAGAGATGTTTTACGTGTTCTCTCTTCCCTCCCTTTACATCTGCCCATTCCTCCACTCATGGAGCCCTACACTATTCCTCGAGGCACAGATGTGAAGGACATACCAAGATGAGCCAAGCTTCTTCAAGTTATTTAAGTTTTCCTCAGATTCACCTCAGCACATTCAAGCAACAAAGTGTGCAATTAACTAGAAAGGAAAGTGGTTTTTAATGGCTTCACCAGTAACAAGAGCCACTCAAACTACTGATAGCACTACTAGTGTCTCCATAGTTACACCTATAAATACAGAACAGTGCACTGTTTGCATGGCAAGGTTTTGGCAGTGGGAGGGCTACAGGGGCAGCCTCCGTGAGAAGCTGCCAGAAGCTTCCCCTGTGTCTGACAGACTCAGTGTCCGCCCACTCCAGCACAGACCCACCACTCGCCAAGGGTGAGCCCATTGGCAGTGATGGTAGAGTGTCTGGGGTAACAGATTTAAGGAGAAAAAAAACCACACAAAAGCAACTGCAGCTAGAGAGGGGAGTGAGAGTATGTGAGAACAAGTCTGCAGGTACCCGGGTCAGTGCAGCAGAAACAGAAGATGCTCCAGGTGCCTGCCTTGAGACTGAAATTTTAAGGGTCAATGACTCAAACAATCGGCCTTTTCAAAAGCAGCTGGTGAAGCGCTCGACTTTAAACCTACTTTTGTTTAGCAACAAACTGTTTTTGGGCTAGATGAGGGAGAAGGCCATTAGAAAGCAGATCCTGAGAGGTGGGATAATACTTTTATCATGCAAATGATAAACTCTTACACAACTGGCTGAGATGTAAAACTCCTCCTCTCTTTCCCAACTTCCCTGGAAGGTATTGGGACATTCACATGCACGCGTAGGCCTGACAGCATTCATCCGTGGCTCAGCTCCGCTGGTGAGGCAGCTGTCAATGTCTTAGAAGGGATCATAAACCATCAAAGACCCCCGAAGCACTGCCGAACCCATTTTGGGCCTGGACTGCACATCCAGATCCACAATGTTACATCAGAGAGTGGAAACCCCACCCCCTTCAGGGGTGGAACCTGGGCATTCCCACCACACCCAAAAGTACTAGGGCAAACTTTTGTGTTTCAGGGGCTCCCCCACCTCCCACAGATCAAGACTGTGACCAATCACCTCCACTAAGGATCATTCAAATCACACACCATCAAGTCTCCGTCACTGGATCCATGGGTGGCGGTATTTTTCCTATTTTTTCCCTTTCTTATACTTTTTTCTCATTATTTGCTTATGTATTTTTATACTTTTGTTATTTCTATAGCTAGCCAAAACAAAACCACATACCTCTGTTCCAATGCAACCAAAATATTCTAAAATAAACCTGCCATCCCAGTCCTACAGCCCATGGAGAGCTCCATGCTGAAGCAGGGCTATGTCCAGAGGCTGTGACACTGTAGGAAGCCTACAGTGGAACAGGCCGGTGGCAGGACCTGTGCCCTGTGGTGAGAGGAGCTCAGGAGCCCGTGCTGGAGCAGGTTTGCTAGCAGGACTTGTGACGCCATGGGTGACCCATGCTGGAGCACAGGAAGTGAGAGGAGCCCTCCCCATGAGGAAGATGGAGCAGCAGAGTCAGCATGTGCTGGACGCAGCCTCCATTCCTCATCCCCCTGGGCAGCTGCTGGGAACGGCAAGGAAATCAAGAGTAAAGTTGAGTCTGGGAAGAAGGGAGGGGTGATTAGAATTAACATTTGGTTTTATTTCTCATTATCCTACTTTGATACACTGGTAATAAATTAAACAGGTTTCCCCAAGTTGGGTCTGTTTTGCCCACGGCAATAGCTGGTGAGTGATCTCTCTCTGCCCTTATCTCAACCCACAGACCTTTCTATTTTCTCTCCCTTGTCCAGCAGAGGAAGGCAGTGATGGGGCAGCTTTGCTGGGCACCTGGCACTCACCACACATAAGAGACAGGACTTTTTGCAGAAAAGACAAACATGATTCCACTCCATCATAACCCTTTTATTGATAAAAGGACAGATCCTGATGGTGGAGAAAAAAAGATGTTTCACAAGGAGAACAGGAAGTAGCTCCTACTGGTCTTTCAGTTCCTTCAGTCTTCTGATGGCAGATTTGACTGTCACCGCAGAGGTGGTACTGGAGGAAGAAGCAGAGTCATTTGCATGTGGCAGAACAACTGTGCTGGTGTTTATTTTTGAGAAAGCACTCATCATTTCAAATTATCATCTGACTGCGCTGCCAAACAGGGTCTAATTCCACTTTTGTTTTCCTGACAACAAAGCGTAGGTCTTGGTCCACCAAAGCACATGGAACTTCACAGGCTACATCCTAACCCCAAATTCCCAGTCATGCACCCACCATGTGCACCAATGTGTGGGCTCAAATCCCTCACGACTGCTACGCGTGGGGCAGGAGTGTCTTCTACAGAATTGTGGGGGAAGGAGAGCAAAGAAAGGCAGTAAGCAACAGCACCCTCACAATAAAGGTTATTGTAATTCAATTTCTTTGCTTTTACAATGGAAGGAAAACATGAAAATAACTTTTCTTGGAATAAATCTGGCTTTGTCTACTGAAAAGAATAGAAATCAAATTGAGTTTGATCCACAGCAATTAAATTTTAACAGAATAGGCAACTCCCCCCATTCACTATCTCAGGACAGATCTACTTAATGGTTAGTAGATAAAAAATTATTAAAAAAAAAAAATAGGTCAAAAGTCAAAAGCTGTATTATGCCTCAGCTATGTGAAAATAAATGCTGATTGGAGCTTCTTCATTTCCTTACTTGTAAGTCCAGGCACCACCAGCAACTGTCTTCATGCAGGATCCACAGTGCCAGATACCCACAGCCTTCCTCTTCATTTTTGTCTGGAACAGAAGAAAAAAGAAAGAAAAAAAAAAAAGTCACTCTCCATCATCTGAAAAAGCCAAACAAGAAACTTCAGGCAAGGATTTCAGCATCACACCACAGAACTCCTATAAGCCAAGTTAAGAGAGGAAAGGAACAGACAATCCTTTTACTCAAATTCTCTAGACACTTCTTAAACATTTTACCATCCAGATATGAACTGACACATTTCTGAAGGCATCATCAAAAATTCAGCTTATTTTGAAGGAGAAAAATAGTAAGGAGTTACCCTGGTCCTAACAACTGATATCCTCACCTCGTTTGGTGCTCATATAACACCACTGTTCCCAGGACTCCCTGGGCAAGCCCAGCTTGCTCAACCCAGACCCACTTCAAACAGCATCTAAAGAGTGAGTAGTGGTACAGAACTCCCTCCCCCATGCAGGTATCCATCACCTTGCAGAGGTGACAGGAGGTCTGCCCATACCTATGCCTGATTTAGGCAGCTCTGCAGACAAGACTATGAACATTCTCACTTCCTACCTAAAAGGCAGTAAGTTAAGGACAAACAAAAACCCAACAACAAATCAAAGCAAGAAAAAACTCCATGATGAAAATATAATCTGTGCAAAGCATAAGCTGCTGGACCTTTCAAACTGTCAAAAACTAGATTTAAAAGCAAATTCTAATTATATTAAGATTACTTTCTATAAGAAATTCCTCCCTATCCAGAGTTAGACAGCACACAGAAATAAGCAAATACCATCAGAATTTTAAAGTGGGAAGAGCAACCTATGTTCCCCCACCAGGTATGCCGTAAAATGTTACTGGAAGGAAAATAAAAAGCCCAAGTCAAGCCTTAATTATCAAGATAACAACTGAGATGCTTTAATTCTGTCAGGTTTACTTTATTAATTATGTAAAACATATAAAATGGCAACACTGCTCACTCTTTTGTATCATGAAATGTAATAATGATTGTCTTCGTTTAACTACTACTAAACATTCACGTGAAATGTCTACTTTTTCAAGGATTCCTGACAGTAGCCCAAAGCTCACTATACACTAGTCCCTGTCTTGGAACTAGGTGCATTTCTCTCCAGTAAAAAAAACTACTGAAGCATCAGATCACCTTTCTAGCATCAATAACAATGTGAATTTTAAAGACTTTTGCGGAGGAAGGGGAAGGAGCTCTCTCACCTTGCCACAGAAGGAGCAGGTATACTTGGCATGCTGGCTGATTTCAATCTTCTTCACCATTTTCCTGAGGGATGCACCATAACGGGTCCCATATTTACCCACGATCCCGACCTTCTTAGTGCGCTTGGCCTGTTGGGAGGCAAACCAGGATGAGTTTCAGCTCTACAGAGACAGCCTTCTCCACGCTGCTCCCCTCTCCTGACATGGCAGCTGAGTGCCGAGCACCCTAGAGCCGGGCTGCAGCCTCCCTCCGCCGCTGGGAAAACCAAGGATTCACAGCGTCATGGCATGGGTCAGGCTGGAAGGGACCACGGCGGTCCCCTGGCACAACCTCCCTGCTCAAGCAGGATCGGCCCAGAGCACATGGCACAGGAGTGCATCCACACGGTTCCTGAGCATCTCCACAGAGGGACACTCCACACCCTCTCTGCGCAGCCTATTCCAGTGCTCGGGCACTGCACACAAGTTCTTCCCCGTGTTGAGGTGGGACTGCCTGTGCATCAGTTTCTGCCCGTCTATCCTACTGCTTGGCACCGCCGAGAGAAGCCTGGCTCCTGCGTCTTGACAATCCCCTAATTCACACACTATTTTAACTGTTTAATTATTATATATTTATATAATGAGATCCCCTCTCAATCGCCTCTTCTGAGGCTGAACAGGTCCAACTCCCTCAGCCTGTGCTCATGAGAGCTGTTCCAGTCCTCCAACCCTCCTCGCTGCCCTCCTCTGGAGCATTATCGATGAAATGCCACCGGGCTGGCGCTGCTGCAGCTCCCCAGCTCCTGCCGGGGCACTTCGGGCAGCGGTGCGGCCGCCAAGACGGCGCAGAGCTCCGTCCGTCCCGGGGCCAGCCGGCTGTGGCATGGAGCGCTGCAGCCCCTCTGCCCCGCGGCTGCCATTCCCCTCCCGCCGGCCGCCTTCCCCCGGCCGCCCGGACGGAGCGAGCCGCTGTCGCAGCGCAGCGCGGAGCCGGCTGGAGGACGCGGCGCACCCCCGGCGCGCCCGGCGGGCTCAGCGCAGCGGCCCCGGCGCGGATGGCGGCGGATGGCGGCGGACGGGCCCGGCCTCACTCACCATCTTCCGCCGGCGCCGACGCGGAGAGGGAGCGGTGGTGCGCAGGCGCGGGCGGGGCGGCGCGGCCGGAAGTGACGCGGGAGCCCGACGGGCCGCGGGCGGTCGGGCTCGGCCGCGCTGAGCGGCGCAGCGGGACACGGCACGGCCCCGAGCACAGGCTGAGCAAAGCGGCGTCACTGCTGCTCGGGGAGGGGAGGAGGCTCCCTCGCTGGAGACACTGCCGAACCGTCTGGATGCAGCCCCGTGGCCTGTGCTCCGCCATGGCCCTGCCTGAGCAGGGAGGTTGGACCGGATGAGCACCGCGGTCCCTTCCAGCCTGAGCCATCCTGTGGAACTCAGTGTGGGAGCCGGGCCGTACATGAGCGCCCGCACCGCGGGAGCACTGATTCCCGGGTTTCCACCGAGGGAGGTCACAGCAGAAAAGGAGAGGGAACAGTTCCATTCACTCACCTCGTTTTAAAAGAGAATAAGCAGCAGGTAGATGTCAAAACAGGGACAGAAAATAAGATCAGAACTACAGAAAAAGTATAATAAATATATACATACATATATACATATATATAGAGATCAATGTGGATGAATTCTTACCATAAAACATACCAGCTATAAACCATGAGGTTGGGGTTACCCGGTCCTGAAAGCACCAGCTCTGAAAGCCCTCGTGTGCCACTGCAGAGGTGATTACCAGCACCAAAACGCAGAGGGAAAAATGCACCAGTGCCATCGAGCTGCAGTGCTTGTAAGGGGATTAGCAACCCACCAACCTCCATTAAGAAATGTAATCCAGTTAGCCTGAGAATTTTTTATGTGCAGAGCCAGCTACTGTTCATCCCCCTCCTGCCAGGAGAGGGCTGGAGCTTCCCAGTCCACCTAGAGAAACCATCCCCAGGTTGTTGTTGCAGGTAATTCTCCTCCGTGCCCACTCTGGCTGCCTCAACCAATGACAGCACTCTTCACTTGCAGTCTGTTTAGTTAAGAGGGAATCGAGGAATCAAGTGTACACAGCCACTGTGTTACTTTCCCTGTCTGGGGTCTGTACTTCAAGAGATGCTTATGGACAGGTGTCACATCCCCTCTTGGCTCGTGCTCGGAGGGTTTGAACACTGACATTTTTAATTTCCTTTGTCATGCCAGGCTCCTCATTCCCTGATCATCTCTGCAAACTCTTCTGGGAGCTGGTGGGCCAGAGCAATGTTTGAGATGAGGGCTCAGCAAGGCTTTAAGCAATGGTATTTATATCTCCCTCAGTTGCATCAAAATTTCATTTGACATATCCTAGGAATATATCTGCCCTTTTCAGATCCTCGTCACAATGATGACTCACAGGATACAGCTTTGATACCAAAGTATGAGAAAACAGAAAAGAAAAAGTAAATTCCTTTGGCTGCTTAGTGACGATATGATTAAAAAATATAAAAATTGTCAGCCAACACATCCAGAGAATCTACTGCTATTCTCTGGTCTGTATCTACAGAGTTCAGTTTGCTTTGACAGTACAGCACATGGTCATATCCATCATCTACCAGTGTCACAGACAGCTCTGGCAACAACCAAACCCAGCTGCCCTGGGTGACAGCCATTCGCAGCACTGCCAAAGTAAACACACATTTCATTTTCCAGGGAACTGAGAAGAGGAAGGACACAGACAGGCCAGCACAGCCTTGCCTTGATAGTCCACCCCCTTGAACTCTTCAGCTCACGAAGCTAGCCAGTCTGGGGCATGGAGAACACTTAGTTGGAACTGCTCCAGCTTATTGCTGAAGTATTTTAACTTGTTGTTGCTGTTTTGGCATCCTTCTTGAAAACACACCTTTCTGCAATGTGTGTGGGAGCACTGCTGCAGGTGTACAAGCAGGCGTCCAGCCACAGTAAGATGCTCCAAGATCCAGTAAGAGGGATCCTTTCCATTCCTCTACTGGTTTTAGATAACACCAAAAAGATACAGCTCTATCATCTTCAGCTGGCAGGCGCAAGAGGCCCCAGGAGTGCTCCAAGCTCCTGAGCCTGCTGTGGGTCTCACTGGCATCCTGCAAACTGCCTTGCAGAGGTTCTTGTCAGCAAGCCTTGGAGATCCTGTCTGAGCCTGCTGCCAGCTGCCCAGCCACCTCCTCACCATATTAATGATGGGCTAATGGTGCCATTGGGATAAGGCCGGCAGTCTCTCCAATCCCTTCAAGTCATCACTAACAGCACTTTCCTGCAAAGTTCTTCTCCCCTTTCTCATGTAGTAAAGAAAAAATGAATCTCAAATGTGTTTAAAAAACCTCTGTATCTGTGCAGCAAACCTGATGAGATTTTATGGGTCCTAACAAAGGGAAAGTACATTCCTCTAGAAGGACTGGGATTTACCAACATATGGACAAGATGAATTGAGTTAATAAGAACAGAATTCTCCAAGGGCGCTTTCAGTGTATCTTAGAAAAGTACTGTTTTGAAATAACTGTAACTTTACAAAGAAGAGAACTACTTTTATAGGAGACAACAATATGAGTAAAGAAATAATGCCTTTTGCATTTTTTTCAGTCAGCAGACAGCAACATTTCTCACCCCTTACTCAGAACAACCTACTTTGCAAGTAGAAAGATCACTCGTCCTACAGACGGATTAAGTATTCTGTGTTCAAGATGACAGACACTTAAAATTGTCAAAAAGCATGTCTTCATCACCTGGCCAGCTGTTGAAGTAAGAGCAGTGATGGTTAACTGCCATCAAACCCACTTATCTCAGCCTGAAACCCAGAGATAAAGAATTTTCTCCAGTTGCCCAGTCACAACACCCCTTGCTACTGCTTACACCCCAAAGCACCGTCTGCAGTCATGAATGAGAAGCAGCTCTCCACCCAGCACAATTGTACATGCAGCCTGTGGGGCATTTCCATGACGACACCAGCTGAAAATGGAACAATCAAACCCTTCAATGCAGGAAAAAATACGTAATGTTACCAGGTTGATCTTACAGCACAAACATTTTTCTCCTCTGCTATGCAAGAGAGATATTTTTGTCAGTGTCTGGTATCTGCACAGAGCCAAGCACATCACCTCCACAGCATGTTAGCTGCTGGCCTCCAGAAGCTAAATGTAAGCCTTCAGTTTGCTGCCTTTTCTACAGATTATGGCTGTAAAACACAGCTAACTGAGAGATGGAATGCTAAAATAGAAAAAGTACCAAAAGCTTGGGAATCACAACTTAAAACAACTTTTTATTTAAACAGTTCAGTCCAGAATCAGTCTTACAAAAGAGCAAAAGTCTGCCTGTGTCCCCTTCTCCTCATTCACCTGTAGAAATCAGTCAAGTCTTGAGGAAAATATACAACTACCTACACACCCCTCCTCCCTGAGAAGGTTAACCCCTGGAAGTCAGCACAAGCTTCACCCTCCACTGAGAGAACAAGCACATGCCATGGAGCAGGTCCCAATATTCAGCACAAAGCCAGAGATGAATGTGCAGAGGCAGACACGTGCCTAAAACATGCAATTCATGCTTACTGACACACAGCTACACTTTACTTAGCTTCAAGGCGGTAACTTCCTCTTTTCCCTCCTCTTCCCCATCTTCACAAAAATCAAGATCTGTTTGGATTTTTCCTCATGGCCAGATGGAATACCTAAGAGCCAGTCTGTGAGTGATCCAAGAAATGGCCAAATTTGCTAGTGAACAAACTAGAAATACAGACTTTTGGAAATGGAAAACATAGTCAAAAGCACTCTGCAGCTCCTGGTGAGTTGTCTTCTGAAGACTTCTGCCTTGGGGACAGACAGCCATTATCTGCTTTTTAAACAAAACAACTTGGAAGCTGACATGCTGAAACAGAGCAGAATGATACTTGCCCATGTCCATTCAGTCATCAGTAAAACAAGGACTGCAAACCCCACAGGCTGCCAGGTGTGTGCTGCACATCTGTCACACTGTGAGACTGCCTTCTTCTTATTCTTTGAGATGAAACATGCCAGAGATACAGAAAACTTCAAGTCCTTTATTTTCAAAAACTAAAAAAATAATACATGATTGCTTTTGTTTTTTCTTTTTTAATAATAAAAAAAAATAATCTCTTAGCTGTTACCATTTACACTTCCTCAATACGCCGCTTTTTTTTGGGACTCACTGAACATGTCTCTGTTTCTCTGTCTTGCAAGGCACTGCCAGAGTCAAACTCACAGCCAGCATCAGCTGCCTCCAAAAACAAAATATCATCAGCATCATCTCTGCTCTCAGAGAAGGTCTTCTGGAAAAGGTCATAGATAGTCTTCTGTTTTGGATCTGGCTGAGGAAACAGAACAGAACAGGATCTACATCCACATATGTCATGTAAAATACAGAGATCAAAATCAGAGGACACTCCCCTTACATAGTACACTTATGTGTACAGATCATACCATACATGATAGATACACATATCTATCTCATACATATATTCTCAAAGACATATATATTACATGGATGCTTAACTCTCCTTGCAGGTAGCAGGCTTGGAACTTCTGTGGAGAGTCCAAGCCAAGGCATGGATTCTGGGAGGAGTTGAACAATCTGTTCTGTGGCATTAAAGGCAGAACAGGTGTAAGGTCACCTGTACTGGTGAGATGTACGCAAGCCAAAACCCATTCAGCCCCTCCCAGGGACCACCAATATTCTTTCAGGTCAATTACCCTGGGAAAGTAGTTAGTTGACTCAGCTGTTTCGGAGAAATTGGTTTCTGAAAGACCAGCTTCACCCAGCACTTTGATCTTCTCCTGAATCATTGGCCTAGGAGTGATAAATGGATATTATTTAAAGGAAAAACTCAAGGACACTGCTTCATTTACTATGTGTAGATTAAAAAAGGATACAAATGGGTATAAAGATGGCTTTTCTACCAAACTTGGTTGGTTCTTTAACCTGTCCTGCTCTTGATTATAATCACTGTATGCTGTCTTGAGATATAAATCAATTAAATTGGTAACAATTAGAGGATTTTGGACTATAAATATTTGGAGAACACACACATCCAATAGAGAAACTAATGGACTGAGGCAACACCAATGGTATGAAGTCAGACCAAGAAGATGCAGTTAAAAGGGAC